TCACTCAACATGACGAACAGAACAGTATTCCACATATCAATACTAACATTGAACATGAACAATCTTAATGCTCCACTTAAAAGACATAGACTGGCTGAAGAGATGAAAAATCACGGCCAAAGTATATGCTGTCTCCAATAAACCCATCTAACTAGCAACAACTCACACAGATAAAAGGTAAAGGTATGGAAAAAAATTTTTCATACAAATGGAAACCAAAAGCAAGCAGATGTAGCCATTTTCATATCAGATTAAATTGACTTTGAATCAACAATAGTAAAAAACAAAAAAGACAAAGATGGACATTATATAATGATAAAGGGCACAATTCAGTAGGAAGATGTAATGATGCTAAATATAAATGCACCTAAAACAGGAGCTCACATATTCATAAAACAAATTCTACTAGATCTAAGCAAAGCAATAAACAAGAACATCATAATCACTGGGGACTTTAACACCTCACAAGAAAACTGGACAAATCTTTGAAGCAGAACATCAACAAAGAAATACTGGACTTACATGGGACTTCATAACAAATACACGTACAGACATTTACACAACACTCTACCCAAAAACTGCAGAACATACATTCTTCTCATCAGCATGTGGGACGTTTTTGAAGATTGATCATATCTTTGGCCACGAAAAAAAGTTTCAGCAAATTCAGAAAAATCGAAATCATACCGTGTATCTTCTCAGACTACAGTGGAATAAAACTAGAAATCAATTAAAAAAGAAGCTCTCACATTCACACAAACTCATGGAAATTAAAAAACCTGCTGCTGAATGATCCTTGAGTAAATGATCAAATTAAGATGGAAATCAAAAGATTCTTAGAACTGAACAACAAAGGTGACACAAGTTTTCAAAATCTATGAGACACAGAAAAAGCAATACGACAGGGAAAGTTCATGGCCTTAAATGCTTACGTTGAAAAGACAGAAACATCTCAAATTATCAACCTAATACCACATCTCAAGGAATTAGAAAAAGAAGAACAAACCAAACCAAAAGCCACCAGAAGAAAAGAAATAACAAAGCTCAGAGCAGAACTAACTGAAATGGAAACCAAAAAAAAAAACAGTATAAAGGATCGCTTACACAAAAAGTTGATTCTCTGAAAAGATAAACAAAACTGATAGCCCACTAGCCAGATTAATCAGAAATAGAAGAGAAAGGACTCAAATAACCTTACTCAGAAATGAAAGGAGACATTAAAACTGATACCACAGAAATACAAAATATCCATAAATACTAATAAAAGCTCTACACAAAAAAAATAGAAAGCCTAGACAAAATGGTTAAATTCCTGGAAACATACAGCCTCCCAATCCTGAATCAGGAAGAAACAGAAATCCTGAACAGACCAACGAACTGCAAGCTTGAGTCAGTAATAAAATACCTACCAACAAAAAAAGCCTGAGACCAGATGGGTTCACAGCCAAATTCTACTACACCTACTGGTACCTATCCTACAGAAATTATTCCATAACACTGAGAAGGAGGAAATGATCCCTAACTCATTCTACAAAGCCAGTATCACCTCTATACCAAAGCGAGGAAAGGATACAACAACAAAAAAAAAGAAAACTACAGACCAATAATCCTTCTGAACATTGATACAAAAATCCTCAACAAGATACCAGCAAACAGAATTCAACAGCACATCAAAAAGAAAATTTACCATGATCAAGTGGGTTTCATCTCATACATGCAAGGATGGTTCAACATACACAAATTGGTAAATGTAATTCAGCACTTAAACAGAATTAAACATAAAGAACATATAATCATCTAAATAGATGCAGAAAAAACATTCAATAAAATCCAGCACCCCATCATAATATAAACCCTAAACAAACTAGGCATAGAAGCAACGTACCTGAAAGTTATAAAAGCCACATATGACAAAACCACAGCCAACATCCTACTGAATGGGGAAAAGTTGAAAGCATTTCTTCTAAGAACTGGAACAAGACAAGGATGCCCACTGTCACCACTTCTATTCAACATAGTAGTAGAAGTCCTAGCCAGAGTAATCAGGCAAGAAAAAGAAACAAAGGCCATCCAAATCGGGAAAGAAGAGGTCAAACTATCTCTGTTTGAAGATAATATAATCCTGTATCCTGACAACCCTATAGACTCTACCAAAAGACTCCTAGAATTGATAAATAAATTCAGCAAAATCTCAAGTTACAAAATCAATGTACGAAAATCAGTAGATTTTTATATACTAATAACAGTCAAAGCTGAGAGTCAAGGACTCAATACCATTTACAATAGCTATGAAGAATATAAAGTACTTAGGCATATACTTAACCAAGGAAGTGAAAGATCTCTACAAGGAGAACTACAAAACAATGATTAAAGAAATCACTGATGGCACAAACAAAGGGAAAAATATCCCATGCTCATCATGGACTGGTAGAATCAATATTGTTAAAATGTCCATATCGCCCAAGGTTATTTACAGCTTCAATGCAATTCACATCAAAATACCAACATCTTATTTCACAGATCTATAAAAACAATCCTAAGCTTCATTTGGAACCAAAAAAGAGACTGAATAGTCAAAATAATATTAAGCAAAATGAACAAATCTGGAGGCATCCCATTAGCTGCCTTCAAATTATATTACAAAGCTATAGTAACCAAAACAGCATGGTACTGGTATACAAGTAGAAATATAGACTAATGGAAGAGAAGAGAGAACTCAGAAATAAAACCATATATATATGACCAACTGAACTATGACATAGCAGATAAAAACATACATTGGGGAAAGGACATCCTATTCAATAAATGGTGCTGGGAAAACTGGATAGCCACATACAGAAGAACAAAACAGAATCCATATCTCTCGCCATATATAAAAATTAATTCAAGATGGATTAAAGACTTAAATGTAAGGCAGGAAACCATAAAAATGCTAGAAGAAAACATAGGAAAAACTATTTAAGACATAGGCCTAGGCATTGAATTTATGACTAAGACCGCAAAGGCAAATATAGTGGCAACAAAAATAAATATATGGGACTTAATTAAATTGAAAAGCTTCTGCACAGCCAAGGTAATAATCAACAGAATAAACAGGAAGCCTAGGCTGGGTGTGGTAGCTCATGCCTGTAATCCTAGCACTCTGG